CCCAAGAGTGCCTAAAAAAAAAAAAAAAAAAAAAACCCGTATTCTTAATGATATTTCTCCAAGGACCGTGGCCTTTTTTTTCTTGAATTTTCTGACTGAGAATCCATTTCTATTAACAGTTGATTTTCTAAAAGGGAATATCCACTAGGGTGAAGCACCTAAATTAAGAGGGCCATGTTTTTAATTCTGAAACTACCAGTCTCAAGCCTGGAACCACCCCCCAAAATGCTATATTGTTGAAGTTTTCTCCCAACAAACAAGGAGGCTCCCTCCATCTTTACTCGTAATCTCCCAAAGAAAATCTTTTGATTTGGAGCCCTCTAAGACATAGTCCTCAACTCACAATTCTCCCTCCTAGGCAACTCTATCTTCAACGACATCGCTTCCTTTGAATTTCTCCTTTTTAACTTCTTTCGATCCCTCTTCTAAATCTTAGCCATTCATTCCTCCAATTTCTTCTCATACATCTACATTTTATGTATTGTTATTATATAGTCCTCCTTTTGTCCCCAAACTTGTGATAGAATCTGGTACATTATAGAAAGGGTATTTATCGAGGAAATGAAGATCTGACCAGAATATTAACAGTGTAAGGAGAATGTACAAGATCAACCTTGCCCTTCGATCAAAATAGAAGCTCAATGTTGATAAGTAATTTTTCTTCATGGATTCAAGAAAACTCTTACTTCTCAATAATAATAATAATAAGCCAAGTGAACGGGTCTTCTCTTCAAATAAAAACTTAGGTTCTGCTTTTTAAATTTTTCAGGCCATTTAAGTTTAGAACATAAAAGAAAACTACTAAAAGGAACTAATCTCAGGAAGATAAGGAGCAATAAACTTTTCATTTTTGCAAAGTGATTTCCAAACAGCAACACAAACTTCTAGTTGGTAACCAGCTTTCAAACAATTAAAGAAGCTCTCTTGGGCGTGTGTGTTTTGCTTTTGTATTAATGGAAGAGGTTGGGAAGATAACAAGCAGGCAAGTCATCTCTAATTTAAGAGGTCGTAGGTTTGAATCCTCCTACCTATCCTCTTGTGATCTAACATCCTAAATAAAATATGGATAATAATTACCTGAGTGACAACTTTTATATTCACCAAATATAGAGAAAATAAATAAGATACAGATAAGCAACGGTGAAAACTTTAAAAGTAAATTTAAAAAACATATAAACCGCTCGTTAACAAGTAAAAAGTTGCAAAAGGAGTAACAAGTTCACAACTCCACCAAGAGGGCTCACAAAAAAACTGTCAATTGGAATAAATAAATAAACTAGAGAAATTATAGAAATAGAAGCTAAAATGTACATTGAGCCTCAACCATGTTTTCAAATTTCTAGACCCAAATTTCTTTTAGTCTGAAATCAGTTGCTTCTATTTTCCAAACCTTTTTTTTGCATAAGATTAACCAAAACAAGATGATTTAAACCAAATACGATTTTATTGGAGAAGATCGTAAGGAAGTTTGCAGCTATGCTTCCAATCCTATCCTAACATAAGAAATGAAAATTAAATGTAATGAAGGCACATTGATTCCAAAGAAAAAATAGATTATAAGAAAAGATAACGGAGCTTTTGCAATCAAATTATGGCAAAAGCAAAGGACCAATCCCGATAGGCATGAATAGAAGCATACCTTCGACAAGATATAAACGTGAAACGGCCCCCGCATACCAAACAAAGTCACAAAGTACTCCACAAACAAGAACTCAAAGACACGGAAAAAGAAAAACAAAAAAAAAAACAAAGAACCGTAGGGTGAAAAAAGAGAGGGAATTAAATTAGTGTGGGAAAACGAACCTCGGGAAAGATAGGTGAAGAAGAAGGATGCGGCAAATCGATCTGAACATCGCGGTCTTCGGCTACGCGAAGATGATAGTTGAGGTTCATGACAGGAACGGTTTTGGTGCACATGATCTCAGCTTCAGCTACCATCTTGTGACTGCCGATCTCAGCAAAGGGCTCGAGTATTCTTGAAATGAGGCACGCAGGAATCAGAACACAAGCTAAAAGAAAAGGGTTTTTGTTTCAACCGGATGTATTAAATATTTGGAATTTGTATATGTAACAACTCCAAATTAAATTTCTTTATTCATTTTGTTTTTCGTTTTAATAACTTTTAACACTCAAACCAATTTACCGATTTCATTTGCTCGTTCATATTTTCTTAATCAATTTAATCAGGTTAGGATTCAATCCAATCTAATCTTATTCCCTCTATTTTAAAAATATTAAAATATTTAATTTTTGGAATCAAAATTATTAACGAAGGTATGTTTTAACCGACTAATCTTCTTCTCAGTCCAAGTGAGAATATATGTTTTAATCATATAATTTCATCAACTTTTGGTGGATTCTCTATCGATACTTAATCGAGAATATATGTTTTAACCGCAGTATCTCAAACATTCAACGAGAATATAGGATTTATCTAGCTTATCTTATTTACTTTTGATGGATTCTTGATCTGCACTCAAGTGAGAATATGTGTTCTAACCGATCTCATCGACTTTTAGTGGGCTCTCAATCTACACTCAAGCAAGAATATATGCTTTAACTTGATTATCTCAGTGGCTGATTTTTTATCCACGCTCAATCAAGAATATATGTTGTAACTAGTTTATCTCACTGGATTCTCAATCCACACTCAATCAAGAATATATGTCGTAACCAGCCTGTCTCACCGAATACTCGATCCACACTCAATCAAGAATATATGTCGTAACCAGCCTGTCTCACTGAATACTTGATCCACACTCAATCAAGAATATATGTCGTAACCAGCCTGTCTCACTGAATACTCGATCCACACTCAGTCAAGAATATATGCCGTAACCAGCCAATCTCACTGAATTATCGATCCACACTCAGTCAAGAATATATGTCGTAATCAGCCCATCTCACTGAATTATCGATCCACACTCAATCAAGAGTATATGTCGTAATCAACCTATCTCACTCAATCAAGAATATATGCCGTAACCAGCTTATCTCACGGGATTCTCGATCCACACTCAATCAAGAATATATGTCGTAACCAACATATCTCACTGAATTAACGATCCACATTAAATCAAGAATATATGTTGTAACCAACCTATCTCATTGAATTATCGATCCACACTCAATCAAGAATATATGTTGTAACTAGTCTATCTCACTGGATTCTCGATCCACCCTCAATATATTCTTAAAAAAAAAAAAAATGTGTATTCTCACTTAAAAGGGGGAGTTAGAGCAGTAAAGATGAACACAGACTCCCTTTTCTGTGCACGTGATTTTGTTTATTACAGAGAGAGGGAGAGGGAGAGGGTAGATGTTGAAATCCTAGGTGTCATGGGTGGAAGCCACAAACTCACACCCCACTCCCAGTCTCAAAACTGTATCTTTACTTTACTCTAAACTCACCACCCATTCCTGCTTCCTCCATTGCTTAAATCCCAATTATTATACTGTAAACAGAGCTCGTGACACTCCATGCCAAACCACAACCCCTTCTCACCCTCCTTTAATTTTCTCCTTACCTTTTTTATGTTTTTGAGAAAAGTGGACAGATGGGGCGCGGAGAGCCACAAGAACAGAAGGATCCAGCCCGTGACCATTCAACCATTTTAATTCCATATAATAATACTAATATATATATATATATATGCTACACAACAACATAGGTTCACGAGACTAATAAACTCTGATGCACCTTTTTCTCTTTCTTTTCTCTCCCTTCCACTAACCAAAACCAAGATGGACCATTGGTTTTACTTCCCATTCTGTTCCATATCAATTTTAACCCATCTTCTGCTATTTCACCTTTTCAATGCTGCAATGCAAACCACCACCTCCACTTTTTTACTTTTTACTATAATATCCTGCTCATCTCTCTCTCTCTCTCTCTCTCTCTCAACTCGACACGTGTTCTCTTTCTACACGTTACTTCTTTCCTTTCTCTTATAAAGTATTAATAAATGTAGATACATATGCATATATAGCTGCTTCTGTCCACCCAGCTTCCCCACTTCATTCTAACCTTTGTTCTTTACAACTCAAGTCTCTTTCTCTCCATTCCTTTCCCTCCATTCCTTTCCCATTCTTTCCTCCTGCCATCCCTCTCCATTTTTGCCACTTGTTGCTCACTGCTAACTTTCTGGCCTTACATTCTTTTCAAATTCACTTGGGTTCCATGGAGTTCAATCGAGTTCCTGCTGTGATGCTTTGGATCACGGCCATTTTGGTGGCGGAGAACTTGAGCAATGTGCAAGGAAGATACCATTTTCACAAGGGACAAAAGAAACAGAACCCTGATGAACAGCCCTCTCTTCCATCCCCTGTTTATTCACCACCACCGGAAGACTCGGTTCCTTCAACTCCAGCTGACCCAGCTCCCTCAGTGCCATCTGATCCCTACCCTGATGATCCAGGAAACACCACTTCTGACTGTGTTTTTGATGTCACTAATTATGGGGCGGTTGGAGATGGTTGTGCTGATGACACTGCTGCCTTCAGGGCAGCATGGAAAGCAGCCTGTGCTGTTGAATCTGCCACTCTTTTAGTTCCCTCTGATCGTTGCTTTAAAATCACTTCAACTATCTTCTCAGGACCTTGCAAACCAGGACTTGTGTTTAAGGTCAGCCACATTTTTTTAGAATTTGAATCTCTTGTTGTTCGTGTTGAAGTTGGAACACTTATAAGTAAACCTGTTAATGCAACAAATCAGGTGGATGGAACCCTGATGCCACCGGACGGACCAGAGTCGTGGCCGAAGGCGGACAGTTCGAGGCAATGGCTCGTGTTTTACAGGCTGGATCAAATGACATTGACTGGAACTGGAACCATCGAAGGGAATGGCCAAAAATGGTGGGAGTTGCCATGCAAACCACATAGGGTACCTACATTGTCCTCTTAATATCTCTTGAATTTCTCTGTTTATTTCAGTTTCAACTTCCTATCCAAGGCTTAATTGTCCTTTTTATTTTAGGGTCCAAATGGGTCGACTCTGCCAGGACCATGTGACAGCCCTGCGGTAAGAAGGAAACCCACCTTTTTGCCCACCAATTCAACCAACTTATATGAATAAAACATGCTGACTGGTTCTGATATCTGGGGTTTTCAGTTAATAAGGTTCTTCATGAGCAGTAATTTGGCAGTGAGTGGACTGAGAATTCAGAACAGTCCACAGTTCCATATGAAATTCGATGGGTGTGAAGGAGTTCTGATAGAGAAGCTGTCAATATCTTCCCCAAAGCTCAGTCCCAACACTGACGGAATCCACATAGAGAATACCAAAGGAGTAGGAATATACAACTCCATGATAGGCAATGGTACGAAACTGAAATAATTGATTGTTCTTGTCCACTCATTTTTATCAACATCTTGGCTGATCTATGATTTGGAAACATAGGTGATGACTGCATTTCAATCGGGCCCGGCTGTGCCAACGTAGACATTGAAGGCGTCACTTGTGGGCCGAGTCATGGAATCAGGTACAAACAACGTCGATTGCAATCTCCATTTATTTGTTTATCACTAGTCAACGCAGTGAATAATTCATTGTTGTATGTAGCAGCATTGGGAGTCTGGGAGTCCACAATTCACAGGCATGCGTTTCCAACATAACAGTGAGAAATGCAGTGATTAGGGAATCCGACAATGGAGTGAGGATAAAGACATGGCAAGGAGGGTCTGGTACAGTGAGCGACATCTTATTCGAAAACATACAGATGGAGAATGTTAGAAACTGCATCATAGTTGACCAGTACTACTGCTTGTCCAAGGATTGTCGTAACCAGACATCGGCTGTGTTTGTGAACCAAGTCTTGTACAAGAACATCAAAGGAACTTACGACGTTAGGAACACTCCAATTCACTTCGCGTGCAGCGACACAGTGGCCTGCACAAATATTACAATGTCTGAAGTAGAATTGCTACCACATGAGGGTGAATTGGTGGAAGATCCTTTCTGTTGGAATGCATTTGGGATTCAGGAGACTTTGACCATTCCTCCCATTGATTGCTTGCAAGAAGGAGCACCTCAGAATGTCGCAGAGACCTATGAATATAGCTGCTGAAGTACAATAATAATACCGTATACAGCCACCATAGCACACCAGCCAAGTGCCATTTTCTGTATCTGGGTATTGATTATTGTCGCTTAGGCTCCAACTCCATCCCTTTCTGGGTTCATTTTTAATCCTCCCACATTGAGCGATGTGATGCCCTATTGTAGACGGTAGAATATAGATGATGCCCTCTCTTTTTGGCCGTCTACTATATACCTTGAGTAATTTATACAACCATATGCACCTTTATGTCTCATGTTAGAGCAGTAGGATGTGTAATCAACAAGCACAAGAGTGAGTCAAGGCAATATTACAATATAATATAGTTTCGACATTGAGCTGTGAATTTCATATTATCAGACAGAACAAGCAGATGAAGTGAACATTGTCACTTCTTTCTTTCCATGGTGTTCCTTACACCCTGAAGAACACGAACAAACTCGTAGAATATAGAGAAATCGAAACTTGCTATACCTTCGGTGTCTTTGCTCAGTTTTGAAGACGACAAAGAACGAGAACAAGGATTCTGACAAACGACCAAATCAAAACCGCCATATTTCTTAATCAAATTGTGAATCTTGTTGCTTGTTAGTTTCTGTATGTCCTCTATCAGCTCCAGCTCCCCAGTTTGTCCACTACTGCGCCACCACTTCTGCAAAATCCTCCTCTTTGCTGCCGAACTCTCGACTGATATCACAACTTTCAGATGAATGCCAAGACGGAGCAAAGCAATTTCCGCCCCACCAATTCCACTGAAAATGGACAACACAATCAACCCTTCTGGGAACATAGACTTCAAAACAGAGAGATGATAACCCAAAGTGTCTATCTGAAAACAATATTTGAGTATTTGAAGCCTTTCCATTGAGCTACTTTCAGCATCTTGAGTGTGATTTACGGGGTACCCGAGCACATACTCCAACTGTTCAGGCTCTAAAGGAGCCAGTTTGAACTGGCCAACCCAGATAAGGTTCAAAGCTATGCAATGATGAAGAATATCTCTCTGCTGTTGAGACGAGAGCTGACCATGAGAATCGGTCATCGTCTTTGTAAGCCTTTCACACAGCTGAGGTACTCCTCTAGTTTCAGAATTGATGCAGCTCAAATGCTTCCTTGTATCCCAGGAAGGCCACCATTTCTTTGTATGTGGTATAGCATCTTCGATAGTCATTGCAGGCTTTGGGAGGATGTGAGACCTGTTTTCACATGGAAGATTGTGCACATAGCCTTCCCTTCTACTCAATGCTGAGAACGACCGAGTGTCCACAAATTCGGGCTCAATGGTATAAAGGAACTTGGAAACTTTTCCCCAAGAATCACGAGATACATCCAAAACATTTCCATACAAGAAAAATGGAGGTTTAGCCACCACCTTATCAAGACTTCTACAAGGATTAAACTTTGAAGGTGGGGATGGAGGTCTAGCCACCATCTTATCAAGACTTCTTGAGAGATTTAGTTCTGAAGATGTGGGCATCTCAAGTCCGACGTTTTTTGGATTTACTTTTGCTTCCAACCATTCAGGACTGTAGAGAGAACTCAAGTCGTCATCGGCATATTCTGGCTTTGGCCGTTTCCCTTTGTGTTTAGCATCGAAACGAGGAATCGGATTTGGAAGGTCATCCATATATTCTTCTTTCGGCCTTTTCCCCTTCAATATTTCCTCAACGTTAACATTCCTTGTGAGAGAGACGCCAGCAGAACTCGAATCCTCAGCTTTAACTTTTGGATTATGTAAACCACCAATATAGAATGAGTTCGAGGAACACTGCACAAAGCCATGAAAATAAAATAAATAGACGTTGGTAGTACCAGATGCTTGACAACAAAATACAAGAATCAATCACAAAAGAAGGGGCACAAGAACATAGAATCCAAAAAAAATTAAGATAAAAAAGTTGGTCTCTACTAGCAGATTCTCCCCAATAATATTTTATCAAAGTGTTGAATAGAATTATTGAATTCAAACAAAGTTAACAAACGCTATTTTAGAAAGGTGTGGCATCGACTTGAGGTTTCGATTTTTTTATAGGGAAGGAACAATATATATTTTTTTTAAAAAGTCAATCAAATATCTTCTTTCTAAAGTTTGGTACTCATTGCAAGCTCTTGGGAAATGTATGGTGTTTGACTCATGTTGGGATGCTGAAGAGGTCAACAAAGTTTGGGATAGAGTTGAGAGGATGCATTTGTCTTCTTTAATCCATTAGTGTAAATTTTATTTCCTAGAAAAAGAAAAGGTGCAAGTATTTGAATAATTTTGGACAATTGATGTGAACACATAACAAGGCTTAGTACAAATAGTTCGACGAGCAAAGTTCAAGTGTAAGAACCTTATCATTCCCAGGGTAGTTACCAGCTATTCGACCCGTAACAATGGAATCAGCAAGTTCTGAAACTTGAGTGTCCGAACCTGAAGGATCGATGCTAGTTAATGGCTCCACATTACCCATGAGAAAGCTTAAAGAAGTTCTCACACCAAATTAAAGATGAAATTGGATAAAAAATTAGCCTCCTAGAGCAGAATAAACCAATCGGTAAAACAAAAATTTTATAATGATTAGACAATGAGATGACTACACTAATCCCTTTCTATGTCGGCCGCTAATAGGAGTTAGGAGCGGTTTGCTTACCGAACTTCTCAATTGCCAAAGAAACCTCATTCTCAGAGAAACCCATTTCAAGCAAGCGAAGTGTTTTCTCCATAGTCACAAACAAGGTTTCATCATTTTCCTGAGGAACATTTTAGACTAACATCAATAACAACAAATACAAGACTAGGCATTATGCCAGTACTATATATGGTGAGCACAATACGAAAAGTAGACCGACTAAGAAAAGTTGGATAATGTAAAATGGTAATCAACTTGGTCAACTCGTGCTGAAGTAAACATACAACACTACTAAAATAAGATTGACATATGAACTTGAATTATGAAAAACAAACCTCCGTTTTCAATTCATTTCTACAGATTGTTTCATCTGTTTCCTTCTCCAAGTTTTCAGCAATCTGTGCGGCGACGATAAAATCCACCAACTCGTTAATGGGAGCATCTCCACCTGAAAATGAGTTATAATAAATCCTCATGGCTGCATAAATATTGGGCAAAACTTCAATCAAGTTCACTATTCCAGAAATGTACTAACCAAGCTTATCAATTGCAAAGTTTACTTCATCAACACTGAAGTTCATCATTAATAAGGAAGCTTTATTGGTATGTGTACTAATATAATCATCATCAGCCTCCTGCAATGGACACGATAAGCTGGGCGGTAAAAGAAATTACTTGAAGCTTCTATACTGAAAAACAAACGCTTACACACGTGCACACATGCACACACACATAAACAAGAGAAGAAGAAATAGTAATCTATGAAGGAAGAAGATATTTTGATCCTCTTGTCCTATTTAATCCATTGAATTCCACGTGGGAGTGGGAATTAGGTTACCTCCTTCGGTATAACAACTGAAGAGATTTCATTGCTTGCATCCTCCTTGTCATCAAATAAGCTATCTAGAGAATCTGATGATTCGGGTTTTGATGTCCGGCCAGCCTATTACAATAAATAAATTACATGAACTTCCAAAGCATACAATTCAAATATAGTTAATTTCTAAACGAGAGAAGAGCCAAATGCAACAGATTTTTCTTTTAATTTTTTATGGTACACCCTGTGGCTGTCCAGCCAATCCAAAGGCAGCTTTATATATCAAGGTCAAAAATGAAAATTTACAACACTTCAACGACGAAAGCATACCTGCTTATAACAGAATGCAGCAATAGAATTAGTCCCCTTTTTATCACTTCGTACACTGTGAAGAGAACCTGTTGACTCAGGAAGTGATTTTTGTTCTGCCTAGTCAATTAAAGCAACTCATTCACTTTTCCAATGAAGCTTTATTGCTAAGACATAAAACCAGTAACCACAAAAAGTTGACAAATATAAGTTGTTGTTAACAACAGCAACAATTGATTACAATGCTGGCAGTCAAAACCGGTTTATTAAGACTGGAAATTTCAATAAGACCATTATTCTTTTTACGATAAGACAGGCACGCAGGCAGGCTATCTGGGCTACTTACCGAAAATGTAGTCAGGGTATTTAATAGCAATTCTACATCATCTTCACCTGGATTTAAGATGAGACACAATATTAGCGGCGATTATTAGGATATTCTATACAAATTGGACATTTCAAGGTTATAATTACATTTCTAATGAAACTTTTCCTTGTGATGGAGACAATTCCTAAGATCAACTTTAAAGGATAAGGTTCTCTCTTCTCAGTTTTCTAAAGAGAAAAGGTAAATAACATAATTCAGTGCCCTCATTCATGAAGAACGCATTGTATCCTAAAAATTAAAAGGAATAAATGTACCTTTTTCTTCGATCACCTTATCAACAAGAGATGGCAGGAACCCCATATCTACAAAGAAAGTTCTTATATTGTTTCCAGATGAGCTTGCACCACTGTCCTGAAATTTATAAGAACTGAAAATTTGAGCAAATCCGTTACTTTTAACTTTTTCCACACTAGGAAATATAATAAATGCCATACTCCAAATATTCAATCCATACTCCTAGGCAATAACATCTTACTTTTCACAATGAAACTTGTATTTTTTCTTTTTTTCCAAACGGATGGTAGGTCCAAAATAACAATAACAGAAATTGATATATTGTAAACACAAGTGTGAAGACCTCGTATAGATACTTCGGCAATTTATTTTAACAATAAGGTTAGAGTTATAACTTGTACGTACCCCGACATGCCTTGAGTACAGCCCATCAGGTGGCAACCTGAAATCCAAGACCTCTTCCTTTGGTACAATAGGCTTATTGCTGGCCTAAGGAACAGAAATAAGAGCGCCTTTATGTTGATGCACATGCATTTAAGTTTCCAATGATTCAGCATAGTATCTCATTAGTGTAAATACCATAAAGTTTTGAAGTAGTGGTTGCTAGGACTAGGGCTGAGGTAGCTTTAAACTTCACCTTCAGGAGAGTAAGCTGAGTTTTCTGTGGCTCTGTAAACAACAATTTGTTCGGATAGTCAAAAAATTGAACAATGTTTAGACCATAACCTCAAAAGCAGCATGTCAACTGCTCTTTGTTCTGGCTAGAGCCATGCCACTCTCTAGCTCTCAAGGTCTAGAATGGTTAGATGCATTAATTATCAGTAATCACCATTCACAATCATCATTTATTCTAATATGACATTCTGCATCAAATCACATGGGAACTGAAATTTT